AGATGAATCCATTAGTAATTTAGTGTGACTCATGAAGCCCAAAATGAGATAAATAAATATCAAAAGGAAGTGACAGCCCATTTACTGATTAGAAGCGTAGGCCCTCTTTCATTTTTTCGGCTGAACAGCCTAGGCCGACTTTCAATGAAGCTGGGTCAGTTCAATTTGCCATCAAGGCCCAAAATAAGTTGGGGAAAAGACTAAAATAAACCCCCATGAACAAACATTTTAAAATGATGTTGTTATAATGTCTTTCCCATTCATAGACTGCCAGCAAATCAATCTAAATGCTCCACCTAAGACCATTCTAGATTTAATTATGCCACTAAATGCTGTCCATTTCATCTAATTATGCAATTTAAATTAGTGGGATGTGCATAACCACCCGTTGTGAGTTGGTTGTTCTCTTGTACCCATTCATCTAATTAATGCTTAATCCCTAATTTCATTACCACTTCCTTCGCTTCAGTGGGAGCAGGTGAAGGGGATTTTAGTTCCCTTTGACTTGGATTGATTAATTTCATCTTAGTTCTCAATTCTTCATTTTTAATATTTATTTGATTCAGTTTTTGAAAATATTTTTTAATTTTAAAAGTTAAAACTATGCTAAGTATAACTTTTAATATATTTCTTTAAAAGTTGCTTTTAGTTTTAAAATGGTAAAAATTAAAACATTTCTGTTAAATTAATGAATTTGATTATTTTTAATTATATATGAATTCATAATTTTTTTTAATCTTTTATTTCACTCCAGTACATACTAAATAACTTGAATTTAAAATTTTTTATTTTTAACAAAAATAAATTATCGGTAAATTATTTCGATAATTAACTATATAAATTCATAATTTAACATTTAATTGAGACAACATTACTAAGAGCGTTTTTGTCATGGGGCTTATCCCGTCCGCGAAAGGTTGCATCAAATTCACCGACACACGGCCAAAATCTCAACACGTGTCCGTTGACATTTCCATGGTGGACAAGGATACGCGTTGAGTCATCATTCTCTAAAGCAACATTCATCAACGTGGCATCCATTAGTCACTTCGCTTCAAAGATATTTAAATCAATGATTCTTACATGGATAAGATATTAAGTCTTCCGCGGACTTTGATAATATATAGAACTCATTCAGACCTCAGTCGTCGACGGCCAACACGGTATTGACTCCGACGCCGCCATGGTTCGGTCCGTAGAACCACTAGTTGTTGGCCAAGTGATCGGAGATGTGCTTGACATGTTTACACCGGCCACGGAGTTTACAATCCGTTGTGGCGACAAACAAGTCACTAATGGCTGTAATGTCAAGCCGTCCGCCGCCGCAGAGAAACCCCATGTTCAGGTTCTTGGTCTTCGGGCTTCTTCCAATTTATACACCCTCGTAATTAAGCATCTCTCTTTTTTCTTTTCTCCTTAATTTCTATTTATATTTTTATATGCAAGTATGATCATCAAATACATGCAATACAGGTTATGGTGGATCCTGATGCCCCAAGTCCAAGTGAACCCAATTTAAGAGAATGGCTCCATTGGTAATGGTTTATTTGATTATGTACCTAACTACTTCATTAACTTTTTTCATGTGATATAGTATTATTTAAAAACAAGATATTATGTAGTTCAAATTGTATAACTTTAGTTATTAGATAATGTGCATAAATTTTTTATTTACTCAATAATTTTTATTTTACAATGCGATGCAATATAAATTATAAAATATAAAACACATTACATATTTAATATAAACTAGTTAGCGAAACTGTTTCTCAACTTAGATTGATAAATTTGATCCTTATTTTTCAATTAAATAATGGTACATATATATTTCTTTCTCTGCTTGGTAATTTAACAGGATTGTTGTAGATATTCCGGAAGGATCTGATGCAACTAAAGGTAATTGATTTGATTTGCATATATACATAAAATTGATTATGTTGTAAAATATATGCATGATTTTGATGTGGAGTTCTGGTTGTGTAGGGAGGGAGTTGGTGGAGTACATGGGACCACAGCCACATGCCGGCATCCACCGGTATGTGTTGGCTCTTTTTAAGCAAGAGGGAGCGGTGATGGGACAGACTCGGCTACCGGATGGCCGTGGCAACTTTAGTACACGCCAGTTCGCTGCTCAAAATGGACTAGGGCTTCCCGTTGCTGCTCTTTATTTCAATTCACAGAAGGAACCGGCAGCCAGAAAACGTTGACATTTCTGCTTCAATACACCTTTGTTACTTGAGCAGAAAGAAATATCATTATATGTAAATTATGGCATGACATGTTGTTGCTTCATACTTGGGATCGTTACTCAGGTTTTGTTTTTTTTTTGGTTGTATGATTGTTTCTTGTTTACTTCAGCACAAGATTTTGTGATTGGTATACAATAAAAAATTTACTATTTAGAAAATTTTTTTTTTTTGTTTTCTACTTATTTAAAACAGTTATGGTATTTCTTATTCATCTATGGTTAAGTGAGGATAAATTTCTCTTCACGCAATTTTAAGGTATTTCTTTACATTGAAATAATGTATTTTAGAAAATTAAGAGTTGTTTAGTAATATTGTTGATATTTTTTGTTGTAGTAAAAGATTTAACAATAATAAATTAAAGTATAAATATAAAAAATGAGTTTTTATTACTGTACTATTAATTTTGAAAACTTGCCCAACAAGTTGTTAGCACTAATTTTTAATTTCACTTTTCAAAAGTCAACTTTAGTTATTCAAAATTTGACAATTAAAATAAATAAAATAAAAAATAGCAACATTATTAAACGGCAAACCCTAAGATTAGAATATTGAAAAAACATATATTTACTAATCAGAATCAAACTGCTATTAAATTTTTATTTTATTTTATTAGTAATTAATAAAAAAAAATTAATAAAAAAAAGATAGTACATATCACACAAATTCAAAATAAAATAGAGTTATAATATTAAACAAGATCATTTCATTAATTAAAATTTAATTTAAAATTTTAAAACCTACCTTATCTAAATGTTAATCAAATATATATTTTAATATAATCAAAATCAAAATCTAGATATTACTCCCACTATTAATTTTTAATAAGCTTAGTTTTTTTTTGTTTAATAAAATACAAATGTAATAATTTATTGATAAAATTTCATATTTATTCTTAATTAAATATTACTTAAATAAAAATTTTTATTTAATATACATTGTAATTATCTTTTTAAAATGAAGGTCAAATAAGAGTAAATGCATTAAATGACAACCAAAGATCAATAAACAACTAAATTTGCACTTCTTAAAGCCCTTGGCTCCAATGGTCTCATGCCATTCGTAAAGTGCATCCTCTTTTTCGTGGGTAACGGTTTGAATCCGATTTTTTATAAATTTATTAAAAAAAAATTTACACTTCTTAAATAAAAATTTAAATTTAATAAAAATAAATGAAGGGAGTAACATTTAACGTAATTTTTAAATTTTAAATTATATTTTAATTAAATAAAATAATATTAAAAGTTTAATATTTTTAAAAGTCTAAACTAATATGTATTATTTTTTAATCAAAATATTGCGTAATTATATTACACACCAAAATTGGATTTTAACGGACGAAATTTCCCCTAAGATAACTGAACGGTGGTGTTAGGTTGCCTGATTGATTCCCACGAGGCCACGACAGGGTCCAACAAGGGGCCCCAAAATACCCAATCACCGACCTCCCAATTTTCAGCCCATCAACCCCCGGTACAAGGATCTCTGTTCGTACTTCTCCCTTCGTCTGCTTCCTCCTCCTAGCGCCGCGAGGTCTCCCTACCCAAAACGCCGTCGATCAACTTGAGCACGAAACAGCCACTTGGACCCGGACTCTGACATATTCTGACATCGGAGGGAGTCATCCGTACAATGCTTTCAAGAACAACCTCTTCTTCTTCCACGATAGCCCCTTCAATTCCTCGCTGTTCCCTCAACAGATCACCATGTCCAGGTGAATCTCTACGATCTTCCCTCTTATTTATTTATTTATTGTTTTTGGTGTCTGCTTGTTTCTACCGCTTCATTATCCAGCTCCAACTTTTTTGGGATTTCTGTGGTTGAAAACCCCTGCTTCGAATTGTTGACTTGATGATTCCATGGCTGATGTTTTAAGGGCATGGGGTGTATTGTGCTGTTCCTTCTTTAAAAAGCTTGAATTTTGATTTATACTCTGTTTCCTTACCTTGGTAATTGAATCAATGAAAGGGATACTATTCTCAATCTAGATAATCTTGTTCCATATTGTTAGGTTAGGTTGGGTTATAGAGTTCTATGAGATGAATCTTTGATGTCTTGACATTTGTGTTCTGTCTTGGAGCTTCTTAAAGAGGTTAACTTTGCTTTTTAAGTTTTAAAAAGTTTAGTAATTTAGTATTCTATGCAGACTTTTGATGTTTGCAAGCCTTAGGAGAGGTGCACGGTCTCTTATTACAAACAAGCAAACTAGACATTCAGAATTTGGGAAATTTGGAGCGGTTGTCAAGCAAACAAGCCATTCAGATTTAAGAAAGTATGGAACGGTTGTCAGTGTTGGACTTCGTCTGCCCCAATTTAGAGTGTACTCACATTATAGGTTTCAGGTTGGGGGAAATTCCTCATCTCTATTGCACAATGCCAAGGAAGTGTTGCCCTGGAGCTCTTTCTCCAGGAATTACTCTAAAATCTCTGCGAGCAGCACTGTGATTCATCGCACTCAAGTTGCTTGGAAAAGGCTTACTCAACAATGTTCTGCCAATGGTCGAACTTTTCCTTGCATAAGCAGGGTTGCTCAGGCAGTCAGCTTGGCGTTGTCCCGCTCACACCTCGTAGTTCCTGGGGTTTTTGCCTTGACATGTGGACAAGTGGTATTGGCGCAGAGAACGGTAGCAGAAACAGAACGTTTCCCATCACAGATTTCTTTATACAACCATGCGCAAGATGGGCATGCATATTTAACCTCTTTACTGTTTTCTGTTGTAGAAGGTCTTATCTTGGTAGTGAGGGCTCTCTATCTTGCAGTATTATTCTCTCCTAGCATAGTGATGGCACCCTTTGCTGACTCTTGTGGACCTCAGTTTAGAACCATGTGGCTTCAGGTTGTTCATCGCACGCTGGAAATGGCAGGTCCAGCATTCATAAAATGGGGTCAATGGGCAGCAACACGGCCTGATCTATTTCCAGGTGATCTTTGCACCAAGCTCTCAGAGCTGCACAGCAAAGCTCCTGAACATGGCTTTGCTTATACAAAGAAAACTATAGAAAGAGCATTTGGTCGTAGGCTTTCTGAAATTTTTGATAGTTTTGAAGAGGCACCTGTTGCATCTGGAAGTATTGCTCAAGTGCATCGGGCTTCATTAAGATTCCGTTATCCTGGTCAACAGTTGAAGCCCATGGTAGTCGCTGTCAAAGTTAGACATCCTGGTGTTGGTGAGTCCATTAGGAGAGATTTTGCGATAATCAACACCGTTGCAAAGATATCAAACTTCATTCCAACTTTGAAGTGGTTGAGATTGGATGAGAGTGTCCAGCAATTTGCCGTTTTCATGATGTCCCAAGTTGACCTTGCGAGGGAAGCTGCCCATTTGAGCCGTTTTATTTATAATTTCCGTAGATGGAAGTATGTATCTTTTCCTAAGCCTGTGTATCCACTTGTGCATCCTGCTGTTTTAGTGGAAACTTATGAACATGGGGAAAGTGTTGCACATTATGTTGATGAACTCGAAGGACATACTCGGATTAAGACTGCTCTTGCTCACATCGGAACTCATGCACTTTTGAAGATGCTTCTTGTAAGTACTTTGATTTGGTTATCTTAAGATGGCTAATGATTTTCTTAGTTTTTGCTTATGTGGTGTTATTCTTTTTTCCTGATTGTATGGAAGTGACATGGTTATGCCTTCTAATTGGCTTTCTATAAATTAACCCTATACTCAGAAAATTATTTGTTAAGTTTCATGTTAAGTAATGATTCTTGTGGTGACTAGGCTTTTACCGAATATAGATTATAAAACGGTTGCTCAAATGGATCAGAAAGGCTTTCATCTTTATTTTCTAGAGATTAACTTCTCATGGTTAGTAAACTGAATAAATGTTGTGTATTGATTTTGTCTTTATATACAAAAGAAAAATGTCTAATCGAATGTTTATACTGGTGGTTGTTGTGATGCATCAGATTTTCCAATGAATTAGGATTTTTATGGGATAAGTTGATTGGATGATGGCTATTAATATTGTTGTATCTTTGCTGGGAGCTCCTTGAGGAACACTTTGACAATGTATTGAAGTTTGAGTGGCAAGATTTTCTTGTTTGATTAACATTCCATAATTGTGCCTTTGGATGAGCAATATAGTATTCATTCACCTTAGCTGATTTGTGTAATAAATTGTGATGCTATTATTAGAAGTTATTGTAACTTTTTTATTTCAGGTGGACAATTTTATCCATGCTGACTTGCATCCTGGAAATATCCTTGTCCGGGTGGCTCAGAGCAAGTCTTCTCAAAAACGGCTCTTTAAATCAAAGCCTCATGTCATTTTCCTTGATGTGGGCATGACTGCTGAACTTTCTAATAGTGATCGTGTAAATTTACTGGAATTTTTTAAGGCTGTTGCCCATCGAGATGGCCGCACTGCTGCAGAATGCACACTAAGACTATCACAGCAACAAAACTGCCCAAATCCAAAGGCTTTTATAGAGGTATCCCATGCATATTGAAATTCCTTGTAGAGAAGAATTATAAGAAACAATTTTAAGGGTCTAGTTTGGTTAGTGGTGGTAACTGATTGGATTTAAGAAAACCATCCCTTTTTGAGCCTTGAATTGTTTGTTTTCCTAAGAGTAGGGTTTATTCATAAGTGGGCTAGGAATTTACTGGCTCATCAATTTGGAGAAATTTTTGTGAAAATTTTTTGTATGGCTAGAATCACTGATTTCAAAATCCTTTTATCAATGGTTCTTGGTATTTTTTTGGCTGACTATGGTTCTAGGTTGAACCTGCATGTTTTTTCCTCTCCACAGTTAGTCTCTTTTCTGTTGCATTGTTGATCCATGGACCGTGTTAGTTGTCATTAATGTTCACTGACTCTGTTCCAAATTTGTGTTTGTGTTTGTTATTGCTTTCTGCCTGATTGTGGAATTTAGTGTTTTCTATAAGTGC